GGTGCAGGGTTTTGGGAACTGTTTTTCTGCACATTTCCTGGATCTCCATGATGGGCAGGCCATGCCTCCATGCCCAGCCAGCCTACCACACCCTAATCTCCTGCCTCAGCATGACTCCAGCCTCGGCCCAGGTTAGGAGCTCAGAATGAGTTCTTGGTTTTGACTGGACCCCAGGAGGAAGAATTTTTCTCAGTGACTTATTTAGCAACTGACCTTGCAGACCTAGCAACTGACCTTTGGTTGGGCAGTGGAGATCAGTGCTGATAACCACAGGAAATTGGCCCTGTCCCACCACCAGCAGCCCCTGGTCTTTCTGCCACCATCTCTGTTTTGATCCAGACGGTTCCTGGAAGTCCCCACTGCTGACTCACATGCTGAGAGAGCCCAGGGTGGCTCTCTCTCTTGATATCAAAGAGAGAAGGCTGGACTTGAGTTCCCCATGCTGCAAGGAGCACATCTGTGAGCCAGCCTGTGGGCTGGAGGATGCGGTCAGGTGCAGGGACCTAGAATCAGGGGCTACCTTGGTGAGGACTAAGAAGAGGGTACTGACCCTGGCCTTTATCTTCACCATACGCAGGTCGTGTGCTGAGTGGACACCATCTACTTTCCTCTTCCAAGAAGGCAGGTGCCCTGTGATGCCGTGTCACTGATGGGAACGCTGAGGCTCTGACAGGGTATGGCCAGTTCAGGGTTCAGCAGGTAACAGAAGACCTCTGGCTTCTTCCTGGTGTATTCCTTTATCTTTTAAAAAATATTAATTCAGAAAGAAGGCAGATAGATAACAGTAGGCTACAGAGGCTCCCTGAGATAGTCAACTTAGAATTCAACATAATATAGCATGAAGAGTCCCAAACAGAGGGAGATGAATTCTCTCGTACCAAGGAGAAACTGAGGTGAGAAGAACCAATCAAGCATACAGTCCCGGTGCTACTATTGGAACAGCTAAAGGTTTAATGCTCCCACTGCAGCGCCTGAACTCGTGCAGCAGCAACTTACCAAGCCATTCAAAATCCCACACTTTGACTCACTGGAAACCCAGTCACACTGAGGTCGGGGGTCAGTCAGCTGAACAGAGAGCTGAGCTAGTGGGGAACTTGAATGGACCTGTGGTGAGCAACTGGAATAAAACCACTCCACCGAAAAAGGGGCTCCAACAGACAACATTCTGGGACTGGGCAGGACTGGCAAGAACAAGGGGCAGCAGTGACTTCAGTCAGCTGTTCCCTTCCCGAACGAGATTGGTAGAGTGAGCTTGGCCTGGGTCACGTGACCTGGCTGATACCCACTAGGTTATCCGAAATCAATTCCCTATGATGGTGGTGCACACTAACACAATGAAGGCCTCAGCGGGTTGACTGACCTGGAGGGGGGGGCCCAGCATACGCTGCCCCTGTCTACAACTCACTAGCACACTGCAGTGGGAAGGGTCATCTAGCCAGCATGCTTCAAAAGAATTGTAACCAACAAAGAAAGAAATGGGGGCCTCCTGGAAGAAACAAAAAAGATGGGAAGAGGAGGCAACAAGAAAAAGTCCCCAGGCCCCAACCCTGAGAACATTGACCCAGGACAGGTAAATACAAAGGAGAATGAGGACAGCAAACATGCAATATCAGACATGGTATGAGTGGACATAAAGAGATATCTCCAGGACCTCATAGATGAGTTCAAAAGTGAAATGTTTAGCCAAGTAAAGCAAGATATAAGAAGATTAATAAAAGGGATACTAAGCATCCCTCAAGAAGACACAGATGGAAGAAGGGAGGAACTCAAACAAAGGAGAGAACCATTTGATGAAGAATATAAAGAAAACATAGAATACATAAAACAGATTCAAAGAGATTACCAGGAAATTAAAAACTCTATGAAAAGATGGCAAAACTGCTTGAAAGAAACTAAGGATAGATTATCCAAACTGGAGGACAGGTTTGCAATGTGGGATTATGAAGCAAAAAACTTTTTTAAAATAATAAGGAAACAAGCAGTAACAACACAAAGGCTAGAAGACGACAAGAGGATCTATAACTTGAGAATAAAGAATGTGAATGAAGAAGCAGGGGTGCAAACAAAGGCACTACAAAGGCTATTCACAGAAATAATTAAGGAAAATTTGCCAAACATAGAAAAGGAAATGATATTCTGATGTATGAGGCATACAGAACTGCAGCTACCTACAACCAAAACAGAGCTATACCCAGGCATATAATAATCAAGATTCCAGAAATTCAATATGAGAACAGAATATAAAAAGCTGTTAGAGACAAGAAACAGATCACCTATAGAGGAAGGCCCATCAGGATAATGGCAGACTTCTCGACACAAACCAACAAGTCAAGAAGAGCCTGGAGTGAAATATTCCAAGCCCTGAAAGAAAATAACCTCCAGCCCTGTCTCTAGAAATTAATGGAGAAACAAGATGCTTCCAAGACAAAGAGGAACTTGGGAAATTCGCAACCACCAATCCAACTTTACAGAGAATCCTGCAGTGCATTCTAGAGAGAGAGAAAAGTACTAGGATTCCAGGAACAGTGGCAGAGAGGCCTCAATGAATGGAGCAGAAAACAGAATGAAGAAGACAAGCAGACAACTGATGGCAAAAAAAGAGCATAACAGAAATGAGGCAGAGAAGGTTGGTTATAATCTCTAACATAGACAGCCTTGATACACTAAATTAAAAAAAAAAGAACCACATATACAGTAGATCAGGAAGTAGGGTCCACTGAGATGCTATTTTTTAGGCAATATAATTAACATTAAAAAGAGTACATGGAGTGAAAATCAAACATGATAAAACAATGCTCTATGTGACAGAGAACCAGAGAGTAGTAGGGTCAACTAGACCAGTATTTGTGGATAGGTTGGAAAGACAGGCTTTAATGCATAAAGGAATACAACTAGAGACCAAGTCCAGGAGAGAGAAGGTTTGGAACCACTTAAGTAAATAGCAGGTTTCTGCCCCCCACCCAATTTAAAACCAAAGGTCTTGGTGAGACCCAAAAAGTACACAGTAAACCCTGGGAAAGTGAAAAGGGAGGGAGAGTCTTAAAAAAGATAGAAGAAGATATTGTTAATAGTGTATCAGGATTTAAAACTCACATTACTCACACCACTCTGCTTAGATAGGTTTTATTCTGTCCCAGTTTGTCTACTTGCATTAGATTTGAGAGCACAGACAACTATCCCAAAAACATCAGGATATAGCACAGTAGTCATCTTTAATTTCCTATTAACTTAATCTGGAGTCCTGTATGACTTATACTGTTTTATCATGCCTGATCTTAGTTAAATCTAGTTTGTTTGATTGCTGTTTGGTATTGACAGATTTTATTCAAAACTGATATGATTGATAGTATCGAGTCTGAGAGTATAGGCAACTACACTGAAGATGACAAGACTCTACGATACACATTCTGGTTTGATTACTACCTGTTTTTGAAGTTTTATACTATATACAACGTTGTGTTTTTATTAATATTGTTATATACTGATATGTTCAATTATACTATGTCTGACGATTTAGCCAATTCTATTGAAGATAACAAGAGACAACACAGGAACTATGGTAGAACTCCTTGTGCAACAGTCTTATATGTCTTTTTGTTTCATGTGTTTAGAGGAATATGTTTGCTTTGTCTTGCTTTGTTTTGTTGCTCCCTCTAATATAGAAAGGATAGAAATACATGTTAAGACTCATGTATGTGTAGAACCTATAAACAGTTTATGAGAACTCATGACACATGATGAAATGAACAAATACTCTGAAGAAAAAGAGACACTAAAGTACCCAGTGCTGATCCTGGAGGGTCATAATGTGAAACCCAGCAGTAGCATTCTTTGTTCAGAGTGATATTAGCCTGCTTGGGTTGGTTCAATCTCAACATAATTGAAGATATGGATAACTGCATGTATGTTTAAGTGTATAGGATTGATAACCATATTTCTAAGTTTTTGTTGGATAGGTGAACAGACTGGTTGCAGTCTCACTGTTTGAATCCCCACTTTATATGCTCCACTTTAGTATCTTGAACAACTATTTGTAAGAGGATAGTATGTAAACATCAATTAGTGATTTCTTATTGTTTATTTTTTTCTCTGAACGTATGTATTATTTCTACCCATTTTCTGTTTTGTTTAATCTTTCTTTAAATAAAATTTTTAAAAATATTAATTCAGCCAATTCTTCCTGGGGGCCTCAGAAGGCTCTGGATTTTCAGTGGCCCAATGACTGAGGCAGATAAGGAGGCCAAACGAATCCTTCCCCCTGCAGCCATGGCAATGTGTGAGGGACCTGGGAAGTCACAGGGCGGGAGACCCCTGTGGGACGGTTAGGTTTCGTCTTCTTCTTCTTGGGCCACATTGTCCTAGAACAGTGACATTCCACCTCATCTTCGCCATCTCCCCCTCACTTCCTCTCCTGATGGGACTTCCCTAAGCAGGGCAGTACAGATGACCCCAGTGGCCACTCAGGAGGGCTGCCTGTGAGGCTCAGTGTGCCCCGGGAGGCCCCATGCAACCTGGTCCTGCAGGGTGAGCTGGTGCCCCCAAGACAGTGCCATTCTGTCACCTCCCTCACCAGGGAGGCCTGCAGCCAGGTGCAGCCGTGTCCACACCTGCATCCCACACCTGCACTGCTGGCCAGGGCTCTGGGCCTTGAGACTTCTCTGTGGCCTCCGGGCAGGGGAAGGTGAGCTCTCTGAGGGCAGGAACATGGCTATCTTCAGCAGCACCTAGAGTTACGGTAGAATAAAAGAAGGAATGAGTGAATGGGGCGAGTCAGGGCTTGGTAGGGAAGTGCCCTGTCCAGTGGGCATCCGGGTGTCAGACCCGGCCTTGGGCACCCGACCCGCAGGCCTCTTGGCCACTGACAACTGCAGACTAGGGCGTACTGACGGAGGTGTGGGGTGGGTTTCTGTCCCACCCAACGTGCCTGCATGGAGGAGTCCCCGGCCATGTGCAGGACTGTCGGTGTCGCTCCCGGCCGGCAGGAACAGCACGCAACAGGGTTTCGTGGTGGACAAGCTTTTCTTTATTTGTCTTCCTCACAGTCTGCCCCGGGATCCTACCCGGCTGAAGCCTCAACCGGTCCGCTCCCCGCGGCTCCTTCCGTGCTTCTCCCTCTGGCGGGAGAGGCACTCACTTTTATAAGGTTACAGTGGCCAATCAGTTCAAAGCACGCGATGCGGGCTGATTGGCTAACATCAGTTGTTGCTAGGCAGACTATCTTACAGAGCGGGTTGTTTACCAAGCAGGAAGCAGGAGACAAGCGCCATCTTAGCACACTCGATGGGAGGGGTAATCTAGCTCAGGCTTTGCTCTTTCCTACAGGCCTCACGTCCGCCAAGTAAGGCGACCGGGCTCGGCCGCGGCTCCCAACATCTCCCCCTATTTTATTTTACAAGAACGAGCGCATCGCAGCCTGTCCTGGATCGAGCGTAGAGGCCTACGCCCTGTATCTGAGGCCCACCGCAGGCCTTTGGGTTGGAACCCGGGCGGCCGTCCCAGGGTCCACCAAGGCCTTGAGGCCCTCGTCCTTTTTTCCAGGGCCAGGGATAGGTCAGATGGAACCTGGGTGCACATAGGCATACGCTCACGTCTCTCCTTATGATCCCCTTTGGAGAGGCATCTAGATTCGGGGCGGAATCTAGCGATCCAGTGGCTTTCGTGCGCCATGGGGTAGGGCCTGGCTTAGGTCGAGTCGTGCTGGGGAGGCACGCTCTTACCCGTCATTGACTCACCCACCCTGCTACATGTTGTTGTCTAGGGAGGAGAATGTGGGAAGCCTGTCACTTTTAAACGCGGTCGTAGGCCATGCGAGCGAGCCATGCGTATGCCTGGGGGTCGTTTTGCCCGTTCTGGACCGCTGCCAGAGCAGCATGGACAACCATTCGGACCTGACGACGTGCCGCCGCAAGGCGTCCATTAATGAACGATGTGACCCATCGGAGCAAGCATGGTCCTATAAGCAGGAGCAAGAACAAGGAGCATAGAGGGCCTAACAAGGGTAGCACATAGGGGAGCAAGCCGTTCCAGGCCCCCAAAAAGGGATTGTCCTGCAGTTCTTTTAGGGCTCATCTTGTTGTTGGGTCTGCGGTTGGCCTCTGGTGGAACAGGCCTGATCTTCAGTCGAGGGACTTGTCGCACGCATCAACCTCTCTGGGACCCACAGTGGTTCTCGTCCCGGTCCCTGCGGAAAGACACAAACCGCGCCTCGGTTCCAGCTAACCACCGGATCCGGGCCCATCCATTGTCCCGTCAGGACATCTTTCCATCTAACCCATCCTTTATTTTTTGGGGATGGGGTACAATGTGCCATAGCTGGGGAGCAATTTTCACTGTTTAAGTTTAAAAAATTGTATGTGAATAATGCCATAGATAACCGCGCCTTTGGAGGCAGGCCTTGGCTTACTCCCCCTTTTTGTTTATATAGGAGTTTCTTGATACTTTTGTGAGCTCTCTTGATGATCCCTTGACCTTGAGGATTGTATGGGATACCATGTTTTAATTGTACTTTTATAGTTTTGTAGAATTTACTGAAGGCTTTTTTTGTGTAGGCTGGTCCATTATCTGTTTTTAATATTTTGGGTTTGTCCCACGCGGCCCAAGCTGCTAGGCAATGATTAATCACATTAGAAACCTTTTTACCTGTCTCTGTAGTTGTAAATATGACGTGGGAACAGGTGTCTGTAGAGACGTGGACATATTTAAGAGACCCAAAATCTGTCATGTGTGTGACATCTATCTGTCAAATGTTGCCAGGGATTAGTCTTTTGGGGTTGATTTTCATTGATATGACAGGCTTATGTGTGGCACAAGAGCCACACAGTCACACGATGTCTCGCGCGTTAGCCCTGGGAATATGGAAATGGTTGGCCAACGTTCGAGCGTTGACATGGAATTTGTCATGGAAATGGCGGGCCTGTTTTATCGCTGAGAGCAAAGTGAATATCCACAATGGGCGGGTGGCCATGTCCGCAGTCGCATTGTCCTGTGTCATGGGCCCTGGCAAATGTGTGTGTGTTCTTATGTGAGTGGTGAATACCTTGGTGTGTCTGTTTAGGAGCAATGTCTGAATAGCCAGGAGCAACTTTGTCACCCTAGATGTTGGTTTAATTAGGCCTGTTGTTTTCAGGACCTGTATGGCATTGACTACATATTTTGAGTCAGAGACAATATTGAGGGCCCCTGGAAACTTTTTAAGGACGGTTTTGACAATCTGTAACTCCACCACTTGTGGTTGGTCTGGCTCAAACTGTATACTGACTGGAGGCATACCTGAGACTACGTAGGCTCCTACCCCAGTCTTAGATCCGTCGGTGTAAACCGTGGTTGCTGGAGCAATGGGCTCAGAGGTGGTGATTTTTGGAAAGACTACTGGATGTTGAGCGACAAACTGTAATATAGGGTCCCTAGGGAACTGGTTATCTATTTTTCCATGAAAGACGCATCTCAGAATGGCCCAGGTGTCTACACGCAGTCAGGGTTTTGATCTGGTTAGTGGTATAGGGCACCCGAATGGCCTGAGGTTTGGAGCCAAAATGTTGGATAGCTCTATTGTGTGCCTCCAGGGCCAGGGAAGCGACCACTTCCGGGTAATGCTCAATGGTCTTAGCGGGTGAAACCTTGGGGTGCACCCACAGCAGTGGTCCCTTTTGTCAAATTACTGCTGTGGGTTGGGAGTCGGTTTGCAGTAGGCAAACGTCAAAACACTGTTCTGGGTTGATCCTCTGTAGTGTAGCTTTGCCTAGGGCCTCTTCTATTTTTAGCAATGTAACTCTAGCTTTTGGAGTGAGCCTTTTACGGGAAGTGATATCTGGGTCCCCTTTTAGAAGATCAAATAGGGGCTTCAAGTCCGAGTTGGGGACTTGTAGGTAAGGTCTAATCCAGTTTATATCTCCCAACAACTTTTGTATGTCATTTAAGGTCTGAATATTATCTGTTCTGATACTCACCTTTTGTGGGGAGATCAGCATGGGGGAGATCTTTGCACCTAGATAGGTCACTAGGTCTCCTCCTTGAATCTTGTCAGGGGCAATATGTAAGTTGGCCTTTCTCAAGGTCTCGACCAATTGACCAAGCATATTATCTAACATTTTTATGTCTTTACAGCTAATCAGGAGATCATCCATATAATGAACGCACCTAACCCTAGGGAAGGCCTTACGCATGGGGGTCAGTAAAGAATCTAGATATATCTGGCACATAGTAGGGCTATTGGCCATGTCTTGTGGTAGGACCACCCACTCGTATCTGAGGTCAGGGCTTTCCTGATTGATGGTAGGTAGGGTGAAAGCGAACCTATGGGTGTCTTCAGGATGTAGGGGGATCGAGAAAAAACAGTCCCTGAGGTCTATAATATAGATCGGCCAATGTCTCGGAACGGCTGAGAGTGCCGGCAGTCCTCTCTGGACTGCCCCTAGAGGCTGTATCTGTGTGTTGACCGTTTTCAAGTCGTGGAGTAGTCTCCACTTGCCTGATTTTTTTCTGATAACAAAAATAGGAGTGTTCCATGGGGAAGTTGATGGCTTGACATGTCCCGCCTGAAGCTGGGTCTTAACTATTTCTGACAGAGCTAGGAGCTTCTCCTTGGGCAAGGGCCACTGAGGCACCCAAACTGGGTCTAAGAACTTCCAGGTGATCTTGATTGGAGTAGGCAGAGGAACCTCCTCAGTGGCCCCTAGGAAAAACCCAGCCCACGTCTATCATCTTTTTTCTCCACTGGCACTGGCGACGTTCGGCCCTGTAGAGTTGAGCCCAGGCCTTTGCCGGGGACATATCCCTGTCTTTTGAGTATATCCTTGGCTTGGGGAGAGCAGTTGGATGAAAGAGTGACGTCTATCTGGGTGAGGATGTCCCTCCCCCACAACGTCACTGGCAACTGTAGGACAAAAGGCTGAAAATGGCCTTGGTGACCTTTTTCATCACACCAGGGCAGGGCTGTAGCACTGACCTGAGGGGCGGATACCATCCCCAGACCCTGGAGAGTGTTGTCAGCTGTGTTGGTAGGCCAGCTGGAAGGCCAATCCTTTTTGGAGATAATGGAGCGATCTGCTCCTGTGTCTAAGAGACCTGTTATATTTCTGCCATTGATCTTAAGCGAAAGCATGGGCCTCTTATCAAGAGTCATGTGGAGTCCCTCAAAAACTCCCCGGAGGAGCCAAAGCCTTGATCTCCTCTGGTCTTTTGCTTAGACTGGAACCTCTTATGGAGGCTGGGGAGCAGCAGGAGCTGTGCTATCCTGTCCCCCTCATTAATTACCATAGTACCTACAAGAGTTTGAACCATAATCTTAATATTTCCTGTATAATCTGAGTCTATGACCCCAGGGATCACGGTGAGGCCCCGGAGGGCTGTGGAGGATCTTCCAATCACCAAGCCAACCGTGTCTTTAGGCAGCGGCCCCTTGAAGGTGGTCTCAACCACCTGGACACCCATGTCGGGCGTCAGTATGAGTCTGGAGGCGACACAGAGGTCCATGCCTGCTGACCCAGGGGTAGCCCTTGTGGAAGGCTGCCACCCTGTGTTGTCCTGTCTCGGGGGTGGGGGCCCGCTGGCGAGGAGGGCCCCCTCTGGCCGTTTTTTGGCTCGTTAACATCTCGGCCACAAATACGATTTCCTTGAGCATCATAGACTGATCTGCAATCCTCTGCCTTATGTGGGCCCTTTCTGCATCTCCCGCAGACGCCATACGATCCCTCATTTTTGGGGCGAGGCCTGGCGCTTGTGTTATTCGGGCAGTTGCGTTTGATATGCCCTGGGTCCCCACAGCCGAAGCACCCCTTGGCCTTGCGCTCTTTCCTCGGCCCTCGAGGGCCCTTTTGTTGTACTGCCGCAGCTAGGAGGGCCGCAACTCCTGAATGGGAAAGTGGCCCCCCTATTTCTCTGCATATTCTGATCCAGGCGTTAAGGTCCTTATTCTTATGTGGGGCTATTGCTGCTTTACATTCTTTTGTACACTGTTCAAAAATTAACTGCCTGATGAGTGGTCGAGCCACATCCTGATCTGAGAATATCTTGTCAGCAGCGTCCTGCATCCTGGCCACGAAGTCAACGAATGGCTCCGTAGTGCCCTGAACTATCTTGGAAAGGCATAGGGAGGCCGTCCCTGCACCACTCACCTGTTTCCAAGCACGGAGCCCTATGGCATTAATCTGCTCGTAGACAGCGCCGGGAAACTGAGTCTGATTATCTGTGTATCGACCCTCACCCATGAGCATGTCTTTGTCCCATCCCCTGTTTCCTTGACTGGCGTTTCTCTCAGCCTGCTCGGCAGAGAACTCTGCGTACCATGCTCGCCAGTCTAAGTAGCTGCCTGAGGGTAGACATGCTTTTGCCAACTGGGTCCAGTCCGCTGGGGTGAGTGGCCCAGAAGACAAGTTTTCTAGCATAGCTATGGTATAGGGTGCAGTAGGACCGAAGGAAGTGACAGCACTCTTAAGCTCTCTGATCTGTTTTATCTCAAAGGGTTCCCACACATTGCGCCCTTGACCCGGGGCTAACTGCACAGGATATATCCCGAAAGGACCGCAGTCTATCCCTGGCAATGGCTGATCCCCACTAGATAGCCGCCCCCCTCGCCACAGCTGTCCGTGAAAGTAGCGTCCAGTCGGCGGTGAGACATCATAAGATGGTGGCCGCGGCTGAGCAAGAAATGGCGGCCTGGGCATCACTTCCGACACTGACTGAAGAGGGGGTAGGTCCCACGCGGCGGCTTCGCGGCAAGGGACCGCTTCCGGGAATGAGCTCCAGGGCGGAGCGGATGGTTCTGTCTCCTTTTCCCGCCAGGGGGCGTCAGGAGCTCCCTACTCTTTAGTAAGCCTACCTGAGCAGAGCGTAGGTCGCGACGCAACGCGGCAAAAGGGCCCCGCGCCTTCTCTTTATCTGACTCGGCCTCCTGGCAATCGGCCTTCTCGGCCCCTTCGCCTTCTAAGTCCCCCTCGTCCTCGGTGTCAGACGACTCCGAGGCTTGAGCCTCGGCTTCCTCTTTTGTATCTCTGCCCTCCTTGACAGACCCTTCTCGGGAGCTTCCTGACTGTGCCTGTTCAAACACCTTGCGTACTTCTACAAGTTCTTGAGAGCTCCCCCCGTAACTACTCTCACTCTTTAGGCACGCGTGTATCATTTCCCACAACGGACGAGCAGAGACCGAAGCTCTACCCTCCCGTTTTGCTAGGGAAAGGTCTCTGCCCAACTTTTCCCAGGAGGGTAGGTTTACATGCCCTGTAGGCAGAAACCAGGGAGCAAAGCTGTCAATTTCTGCAAGGAAATTTTTTAGAGTCTTATGCCCCACCTTGAGGTCCTTGGACTTTAGGAGTCTCCGAAGGACCAACACCAAGGGCTGAGCATCTTTGTCCGGTATGTTTCCCATATTTATATCTTGTTGTGTTCTATTATTTTGACTCACCTCGTGAGGCCTAGGAGACCGGCCACTTACGCGTGAGCTCGAGAGGAGTCTAAAAACCCTGTAGGTGCGCGCCACCCAGGGCCCAGGTTTATCCTCTACTCACCTGTCCTGCAGCACTGTGTTGGAGCGTATCGTCCACCACCACGTCTCGGGGTCGGTCAGGATTTTTTTCTCCCCGTACGGGCCACCAGATGTCGGTGTCGCTCCCGGCCGGCAGGAACAGCACGCAACAGGGTTTCGTGGTGGACAAGCTTTTCTTTATTTGTCTTCCTCACAGTCTGCCCCGGGATCCTACCCGGCCGAAGCCTCAACCGGTCCGCTCCCTGCGGCTCCTTCCGTGCTTCTCCCTCTGGCGGGAGAGGCACTCACTTTTATAAGGTTACAGTGGCCAATCAGTTCAAAGCGCGCGATGCGGGCTGATTGGCTAACATCAGTTGTTGCTAGGCAGACTATCTTACAGAGCGGGTTGTTTACCAAGCAGGAAGCAGGGGACAAGCTCCATCTTAGCACACTCGATGGGAGGGGTAATCTAGCTCAGGCTTTGCTCTTTCCTACAGGCCTCACGTCCGCCAAGTAAGGCGACCGGGCTCGGCCGCGGCTCCCAACACAGGACACCTGCAGTTGTCTGGTATCCTAAGAGGAGAGGGGACGAGAAATCCAGTCCCCCAGACAGCTGAGGAGCTATGGAAATGTATTTAAAACAGCTCGTCTCGCAGCTGCTGGCAGATTGCTTCTATGCAGACTGGATGGCTTTAATAAAAAAAAAAAGGGAACTTCTCCATCTGCTCTGTAAAGATAAGCCCCCAGCTCCCCAAATCAGTGAGCGACAGAGGCCCAGGGGGCCCGTGGGTAGGAAAGGAGAGCAATTCAGGCCAGACGTAGAGCCGATTAGCACTCAGATCCTGCAGCAGGAGGCTCATTCCAGCCTCTCGGAGGTGGGACCAGAAGTGACAGCCAAAGGTTGGACTCAGGGAATTAAGACGTCACTGAAGCCCCGCCAGTGCCCTCTCCACGGCCCTGTGCCAGCCTTTCTTGCCTCTCTGGTTGTCAGACAGCAAAGGATGATTCTCCAAGGCCTGGAAACCACTGGATTGTGACCAGGTCCCCAAGAGTGTCTGGGATGCAGCCTGGCAGAGAAAGACCTCAGGCAAAAGTAGGTCACACTTCATTTAAGCAAGATTAGTGTGTGCCAGTCAGAACCCGGGCAGCAGGAGGGGGCTGCGAGCCCCTCTTGCATGAGCCCTGCTGGACCCGTCATTGGGGAGCAGGGGAGAGGGGGCGCTGTGGGCCTGAAGCTCGTGCCACGTGAGGGTCTTCATGAAGGAGAATGTAAGTGATGGACACAGCCCAGGTAGAGCCTTCCCAGGGCCTGGACAGGGTCCCGCAGGTGACAGGTGCTAGAACTCAGGCTGCACACTTCACAGCAAACAAATGTGTGCATGACACAGAGTACGAGTGTGTGAGCCTGTGTGAGCGTGGGTGTGAGCGTGAGGGGAAAGTGGGGGGTGAGAGTGGGGAGGTGTGGGTCTCTGCACACGCGTGTGCAGCTGATTCCTTTCCACCTGCACTCTCCTCGCCTCGGTGCCCCATTCACACTGTGAGCTAAGTCAGATCTTGGGGTGGAGGGCACCACCACAGCAGCAGCATTGCTAGAGGAGATCACGCATTGGCGTGAGAGGAAGGCAGGCAGCACCCACGTACGCACGTGTGACCGTGTATACACACCAGTGTGTGTGTGACTGTAAGAGAGGGGCTGGGCCCACAGTCAGGGAAGTTACAAGGCACCACCCACTCCCCTTGCACGATATTAAGAGAAATTTCTCAAGCTCGGAAGCCAAGGGGAAGGTCACGGTGGGTTTCTAGAATCATCTCCGGGCACTGTCCAAGGGTCCCCCAGTGAAAGTCAGCAGACTGACTGCAGTCTCGGGTTTGACTCACCACTGAGTATTAATTAGAGCCAAGATTCTGCAAAGTTAAACGCTAACTTGTACAACTTCGACAACTGCAGATGATTATGTATCCGGAGGGGATGCAAATAATTCAAGTTCAATAGAAAAGACAATCTCAGGCTTGGCTTTTTTTTTCACCTTTTAACCCTGTAAGACACAGGACAGACTGCTTTTCCTCCACCTCGCCTTTCCTTTGGAGCCAGATTTGTTCTGTTAGTGCCTTTGTGGGTGAATAGATTCACTTCGGCCTGTGCTGATCTGAGGAGTTTTCACCCCACTCGGATGCGTAACTAAGTGTCACACTTTGATGTTAGTCTTCAGCGTACTTTATACTTTCTAAGTTATTTCAAGCAAGAACCCTGAACTTAAGGAATATGAAGATTATGACATAAACTTTTTTGGAGTTTATCTCCCTTTTAATCCTTCATAGTTTGTCAGAACCCAATTGTGGTTTTAAATGTAACTCAAATAATTTCTATGCCCCCCAAAGTTCAGCCTGTGACAGTCAGAAACAAACACAGTTTAAATAATCGAAAGGGAAGAACGTGAAATTCCGATTCCTATTTGCATATTTAAAGCACATTAAGCAGATCCAAGTCAGACCCTTCTGCACAGGGCCCTCTGCAAACAGTGCTTCAGCATGCTCTGTCCTCCCCCCTGGCTGTCCTTGGTGCCCTCCCCAGTGCTCACATGAGGACTCTTGCTTGCAATCGAGAGAAAACTCAATTAGCATTGAGTTAAACCCCAAAAATGCAGTCTTTATTATTCACTTAACTGGGGTCCAACGGGCAGGTTCTAACATCAACTGTTCCAACAAGGACCGGGTTTTGTCCATTCTTCTGCCAAGTTTAGTTTTGTCTTCATGCTTATTGCCTCATGGTCACAAGATAGCTGCTGAGCTACAAACATCATGCTTTTGTACACAGCTTCTCAGGCAGGAGGGATAGGGCAGAGACCAAAGAGTTTTCCCTCAAAAGAGCTTTTCTTTTTATCCAGGAGGAAAATCCTTCCTAGACGCATCCCAGCATCAAGGGCTTTGTAACTTCCGTAACACATACACACTGGTGTGAATACATGGTCGCACACGGTACACGGATGCAGGCAGGTGTCTGGGGCCAGGCCCTTGGTGCTGTCTGGCTTTGACTCTTGCCGTGCGCCTTCTCTTGCTTCTCAAGTCTAGAGCTGGCCGCTTGACCGCTGCAAGTCACAATACTTGAAAAGCAAGTACTGGACCAGGTAGGAAAAAGGAAATACGGTGTCTGACCCATCAGGACTCGTCCCGGGTTGGGTGTGTCACAGGCCCTGTGACAGGTTCTGCCAGCAGGAGAGGCACAGGAGGGACCACCACTGGTGACACACATACGCTGTCCCTCACGACATTCACCCTAGAGCTGGGGAAGCGACCCTCAGGCCAGTGGTGCAGCTTCGTGCTCCAACAACGCGTGCCTGACTTCTTAAAGACAGCGACCAAGGTGGGACCCAACTCACACCTACCAGCTCCCAGAGGCCCTGTGACAGCCCTGTCCACCCCTCAGCCACAGAAAGACCACAGGCTGACACATCAGGGTGGGACCCGTGTGGATGCTGTCACCTGTGGCCGCTCAAGGCAGAGCAGATCGCAGCCACCATGCGAGGGTCAGGAGCGAGGAGAGGGAGGGTCAGAGGGCTTTGTGCCACGCCAAGCCTTCCAGCAAGTGCGTGCCTGAGCTGACATTTGGCCCAGAGCTCTGATTTCAAAATCTGGTTTTTGTTTTGTTTTTTCCTAAGCCCTTAATACCCTGTTCTTTTTCTAGCAAAGGGACCACATGCCGGCTTAACAAGGGGAGGGTGTGGGGAGCAAGCAGATGCTGGAGCTGAGATGCCAGGAGCCCTGACCCCGCTTTGCACACCCCACAGCGCCCACAGGGACACCCCGCCCTCCTGTGGGTGCTCACTAGCGCCTCCTTCCGGGAAGGCCCAGAATCCACTCCACCACCGCCCGGCCTGGAAGGCTGTCCAGCATTTCACCAGCCCTCCCTCCACGCAGGGCTCTCCTGCCTTTGGTCATTCTCATCTCTCAGGGCTGGCTGTGAGGCTGCAGGGTGAGGACAGCACGTGCTCCTGTGTCAGGAGGGGAAGGACATCCGGGTGTGACCGACACACCGAAGGAAGCTGCTCATGTTAGCTTTGCAAGTTCCAACTTCCCTGAGACTTGGGAAGGCAAAAGAGAGCAACCCAGGGCTCCCCTTGGGCTCCAGGTGCAAGCCATCCTCAGTGTCGCCTCCCCTTTCCCTCAGTCTGGCTCTGATGCAGGGCACCACCACTGGCCACGCCAAGCTCTGCGCCCACCTCTCTCTATGGTCGCCATTTGTCTCATGCAGAGATCTGTAAAAGACTTGACCACAAAGCGTTATGACGTGGTGGAGGAAGGTGGGAAGGAGCAGTGGAGATGAGAGCTTTCTACTGGCCTCCTTTTTGTCACCAATAATGCCATGGCCCCAGCCCCTCCCAGGTGCCTCTTTCACACAGGCCGAGCACCGTGCTCTCGCTAATGGTGACTGCCTTCTTGTCCAACACACACAGTGTTAACATGTTGAAGAGACAACTCTAGGACGGGGAGCAGTCACTGTCAACCCTGTGGGGAGTGCCCTGGGACCGCAGAGTTCAAAGCTGCAGAACCAACACTGGTGGCTCCTCAAATATAAACTAAGTAAAATTTAAAATCCAGCACCTCTGCCTCATTGGTCACGTTCCAGGGCTAGATGGGCACCTGGGATCAACAGCTCCCACAGTGCACAGTGCAGAGGAAGAAAATGGCACCGTTCTCTGGGCCAGCGCTGAGCTAGAGGAAAGTCCTAGTTTTTAAAAATTATAGACTTTGTTGGGATTTTTGATAACTGAACAAGCAGCTGTTATAAGCCATGAAGAAATCACAATAGTACAAAAATCATACAAAGGTCCAGGTTGGTCCATCAGATCAGCGACTCACAGAGCCTAGAAGCTCCCTGTCCTCATGAGTTCTGTTGCCCAAAACCCAGCTCGCTAAGGAGGGCAGAGTAAGGGGCAACCCTTGAGTCCCTCCCCCAGCAGTGGAAGGTTTTGCTAAGAGATTGAGGGGCAGAGCCTAAGAAATAAAGGGGGATGCCAGGATGTGCTTATGAAGAGGTTGGAGGACCGAGAAGCCAGACTCCAGGTGGCAGGGGCCACAGGGATCTTCAGCAGCAAAAAGTCCTCACCACCCCTGGCTAGAGACAAAGGAGGGGGGCTGCGTCATTCTGGCCCCCAAAGCTGAGGCCACTCTGTGGGGATGTTGACAGGAATGGCCTGTGCAGAGCTGCGGCCACAGGGGAGACTCATCCAGGCCTGGGGTAGCACCTGGAAAAGGGGAACCCTCCCCCCTTCCTTCCTGCCTTCTGTCTCCTGCCAAGGCACCACGGTTGGATACCAAGGAAATCCAGTGGGCGGAGCAGCCTGGAAAAGTGGTCTTTCGGGGAGAGAGGGGTGGGTGAGCGAAGGGACAGCTGTTCTGTGCTGTGAGCTAAATGGTGTCCCCCAAAATACCTGTGGGGAGCCTAACTCCAACATGACTATATCTGCTGATAGAATTTTTAGCAGGTAAAGTTACATGTAATAACGATAAGCTTAGGATACTCACTCAGTAACGAGGGGCCTTATTGATGGAGATTTTCTCTCCCCCGCCCCTCTCAGCAGGTGCAGAGGAGCAGTTAATATACAAACCGAGTGAGCAGCTTGCTGTCTACAAATCAGGCAGGGAGCCCTCACCAGACCCAACCATGCTCACAGACTGACCTTAGATGTCCACTTTCCAGTGCTATGAAACAATACATGTTTGTGATTTAAGCCAGGCACTCTGTGGCATTTGGTTATAGCAACTTGAGCCGCCACGACTTTGCACAATTCTGGAAATACATCTCCACAGACTCAGTGTGCTAGGAAGCATCACGGTCCTCAACTGCCTGAGTCCCTTTCCTCATCGCTAAGGTATGATGACACCCAATGCACCCAGTTTAAAGGAGGAGAGGTTCACACTCCCAGAGTTTCAGTCCGTGGTTGGAGGGCTCAAATGAAGAAATGGCACGGGGGAGGGACATAGCAGAGAGAAGCTGCTGATGTGATGGAATCCAGGAAACAGAGCGAAGGGAGGAACAAGGCAGAGAGACTAAAGCCTTCCATAACCCACCTCCAACCAACCCCCACCTCCTAACAGCAAGTCAGTGATAGTGCCCCCATAATTCGGTAACCTTCCCGAGCACTACCTCTGAGTACACACGGCTTTGGGGGGACATTCTCCTTTGAAACTGTATTTATGTCCTAATCCCCCAAAACAGTAATTATAGTCACCCCTTTGTATCTATGGGCATCTATGCCAGACCATCCCCCAGCAGAACACCAGGATGAATGTTTAAGTCCCTTGTATAAAATGGTACAGTAGCTGTGTATAACTTACCTACATCTCTCATATTCTTTAAGTCATTCCCAAGTTGCTTACAGCACCTAGCATAATGCAAATGATATGTGAACTGTTCTTGCACTGTATTTATTTTCCTAAGGACAAGAAAAATGTATGTACATAAGCAATACAGAAGCAATATTTTTTCCAAATATTTTCAATCCACCGTTGGTTGAATCTATGGATTCAGAATCTCTGTATACAGAGGGCCAACTGTGTATGGGATTTTACACAACAAAGCAGACTTTGCAGATGTAATTAAGTGAAGGATCTTGAGATGGAGAGATTATCCTGGATTATCCAGGTGAGCCCAACATTATCCCAAAGATCCTTAGGAAAAGATGGGGCCCTGATGGTCAGTGACACAGAGAAATATGATCAAGAAGCCAGAGTCAGACGTGAGAGTCTGAGCTTTGAAGGGGATTCCAGGGTCACAGACCAAAGAATGTGGTGGCCTCTAGAAGCTGGAGAAGACAAGTCTCCCTGAGCCTGCAGAAGGAGCCCCATATCCATGAACCCCCCATGCCAGACTTTTGATCTCCAGAATATAAGAAAATAAACCTGTGTAGTGTCAAGCTAAGTTTATTGTAGGTTGCAGCAGCAGGAAGAAACCCATAAACTAGAAATTCTGGCAATGTGGTACTCTGTGCACTCCATGTGGCCCTTCAGCAATTTTGGGTTTGCCAAAGATGAAGAAACGGATCAGCACTCAGAGAAATGGAGGAAACCGAGCTGTATTACACAGCCAGGCTCAGAGGAGCTGCGCACTCCAAAGTCTGAGCTCCACGCCAGTGTAGAAAGTTACTTTTATACTGTTTATCAGGTAGGATGGGGGTCTTTTGTGAGTGTGTGGAACTTTGAAAATATGAGAACAAACTGGAAACAGAAAAAGGCTGGGCACAGCTTGTGCTTCTGGTATATCTTGTGGTTAGCAAGCTGCAGACTATTAACGTCTTGGGTTTTGAGACCCTCTGCTCCACTCCGAAGAGTCACAGGCAGCAGAGCTGGCCTGTCCGTCCAGCTCCAGCTCCCTCCTACCTTGTCCTGTGAGCTCTTTGGGCCTGTCTGCTCTGTGACAACACCACTGGACCTGTGAGTCTCCAACAAGCCTGGAGGAGAGGCGAGGACAGCCCAGAGATGAAGGCGGAGATCTGAAAGGCACGCGGTCCTGGGCTCCCTACGTAGTGGCTTTGTGCCCTTGGGAGGCCACTGAGCTTTTCTGTGGACCAGAAGGAAGATGGCTGCTCCCATGGCTGCTGGGAGCTGAGGCCTTCTCCTGTCAGTGGGCATTCCTGGATGAGCTGCCACGCATATTCCCTGCTGGTCCAGATCCGAGAGCTGGAGTTGTGTTCCCCAAACTCAGGGCCTTGTAGAGCCCACACACCCTGGCAGGTGTGATGACAGAACACCATCAACACCAAGCATAGAACTGGGGCTCAAGCAATGCTGCTCTCCACCTCCTCTTTGAAGAGGGGATCATAGAGGCCTCTGAGGCTACCAGAGTCAGGTGAATGGACACAGGTGGCCTTTGTGTAGCAGTTCCCCTCCACCCTGGGCTCTGCTCACCCTGTGATGCCACTCAACCCTCAGGCTCAGCACTTAGAGCTTGGTTCCTGGTATGCACGGTTGATGTAGTGAGACATATAACAGCTTCTCTCTACAGAGCTCAGAACTCCACATCCAGACAATGTGGTCTGCCTGATGCCAGCAGCCACACTGAGGGCTGAGCTGCCCACCAGGCTGAGGTCACCCCCAGCCTACGTCCTGATGCAACCAACCTCCAGCCACAGTCTCTTTACCTCTCCCTCACAGCTCCAGGCCATCACTGTGAATGTTCCAGAATGGGGCAAGACTTGATTCTCCCATGCCCAGACAGGCCCAGCTCCCAGGGGAGCAGGTATGCAGCTCAGGGTCTGGGCCAGGGGCAGGGGCAGGGACCTGTGTGACAAACCATTTTCCTGGGGGCTGAGGACCAAAGTGGGGCCTCTGAAGTGCTTTCTTTGGCCAGCAGTCCTTGAAATTGAGTGCCCCATCTCTAGCTGGTATGGGGTGAAGAGCCTGACAAGATAGCCCCCCCCCCCAATAAGCCAGCAGCAGGGGCAGTGTGACCCCGAGGACCCCTCTGCCTGAGTTTACCAAGTTCCTGGTCTTTTCTGGGCCTCTCCTTCCTCATTGCCCCCCCCCTTTTTAAGGCAGTGATTCTTTTTTCTTTTTTAACAAAACAAAACAAAAATAGGAATGATACAGAATTTTTTAAAAAAGAAAAAATTAATGCTAGTTAATATATTGCATGCTATTTCTTAGAGGTAATTGTTCAGGTTATAAGATTTCAGCATGGCAAAGATGACCAATCAATCAACCAACAGAAGCACAAACTGTTGTTCTGGATGAACTTACGGAGATTAGCAGTATAGTTAGTGACTCTTAACCACGCAGTTTTGCCTGGGAGGCATTGGGTAGTGCTGGGGACACCTCGTCATAAACTACAACTATTCTCCTGACTGGTGTCTGGAAGGTGGAGGCCACAGACCTCACACTGCGCAGGGCACCCCATTTAGAGTGACACCACAGTTAAGATTTCCTCCCTACCCCCTGAAGCAGAGCTGTAAGATTCAGGTGCAGACAGGGTTATGGAGACCATCAGGAGGCAGAGAGGGAACAGGGGAAGGCGAGGCAGTGGAGAGGACAAGGCCAAGCAAAGGGTCCTGCTAACCTGGTCAGTTATGGACCCATGAGACCAAGGGAAGGAGAAACCTCATTTATCCTTTGGAGGAGCTCCAGTCTTCCAGTCTTTGCCTTCGGCCTGGATGTCATCTCTTGGCTTCTAGTACAGACTCTTTAGCTTCTGCCTTGGATCCTTCACCCTTCAGGCATAGACTCCTCAGCCTTCCAGTGCAGACTACTGGTCTGCTAGTGTGGCCTTGCATGGGACACCGCAGTGAACTCGAGACCTTGGGTTGGATCCTTCAGCCTCCAGCGTGCAGATGCCCTCTGAATGCTTCCTTGTCCGACTCTGTGGCTGATCATCGTAAGCCAATCTTATAATTTCTTATACATTTGCATATCTCATGTTTTATCTGCTTCTCTATTAAAGCCCTGACTAATACAAGGTACATCCTGTGCCCCTTCCCTCAGTCAGAATCAGGATCCCAGCACAGCTTGATGCTCATGGACACAGGGAAACTGAAGAGAAAGAGCCCAGTGAGGCCCTGTGTCTCCCTAGAGAGATGCGATGCCACCACCCATGTCCCAGTTGTGAAGCTGAGCAAGCCACCATGGAGAAGGTCCCGAGAACTCAGTCCAGAGAGATGGCTGCTGATGGCTTTGTCCACTCACCTGGGCCACCAGAGGCCCACACATTGGTCAAATGTTACTTGAGTGAGAGTGCTCAGGAGAGGATGGGCACTCGAGTTGGAGATGTGTGAGGTAGGTGGATGGGCCTCCATGGAGCAGAAAGGCCCACTTAACAGATGTCACTTGCAGCTTGACCTGGACATGCGGTCTTCTCTTGCCCTTGCACTGGACCTGAGACCCCCTTGCGGCTCTCCGGGGCTCTGAGCTTGCTGACTCCTCAGCCTCCATCGTTGGCTCTGCCTCCCTGGAGAATCCAGCTAATCTGGGCTCATGATACTATCGATTGGGGTTTGGAGGATTTAAACTGCAACCTAAAGGCAGAGGAGGAGCGTTCCTAGGGACTGGGGTCACCCGGGACAGGACTGTGCTTCAAGTCACAGAGGAGACTCAGCTTCAGCTTCAAGATGCCATTGGGGCAGCCCCAATCCCCGCCCCCAACACTGTCACAGGGCTTCCTCCTAGAGGGTCACCACCTGCTGGTTCTCAGCTTCCCACCCCTGTGCCCTGTATCCTGAGCCAAATTCTGTGTGAAGGCTGAACACCAAGAGAATCAGCTCGGGAAGTTGGGCTAGGGACAGAGAGGCCTTCAGGGGCCTTGTCCTGGGCAGGTCATAAGGGTTGGATGGAGCCCACAGGGGCTCCACACCCCCTAACTTCCTCTCAGAGCCCCAGACCCCTTTCCCCCTTGGTGCAGGATCAGGCTTCTAGAGCCAAGCCCAGGCCTGGCTGTACCCTCCTCTCCCTGCCCCTTCCCCGCAGGCTCGCATGCGGGGCTCCCCTCAGCATGATCTTGGGTATAAAGGATGTCCAAGATGAATGACTAGACCCGGAGGCCCTTTAGTACCAGATACTCGTTGCTATTTCCAGATGTTTGTTTTGGTGACTGGCATCTTCGTGCATTTGGCTTTGGTCTGAGGACTTGTTTCCACCCGGCCCCGGTCTGAATCTCCTCCCTGAATCCAGGCCCCAGTAGTACTGGTTGCCAGATGTTCCACAGCACCCAACGTGCACCGCAGATGTGTGATGGTGGGTGCTGGGGCCTCTCGCCCCAGTCTGCAGGGGCTGCCCGAGGCCTGGCTCTCTTCCTGACCACAGAGTCCTCTGCACCCTCTGAAATCTGCACATTTAAAGAACTACATTAGCTCCTATTTTCAGGATGTGGCTTTCAACTCACCCACACGTCCCAGGGAGTCCTGCTGAAATGCAGATGTTGATTCTGCCTGCTTGAGGGGCAGGATTCTGCATGTCCCCCTACCAGCTCTGGGGCCAGGAAGGGGGAGCTGGCCAGTGGGGTCTGTAAGTGCAGCCCAGCCTTAGGGCCTCTGCTTCCTGTGTTTGGGGCTGGGCTGGGAGAAAGCGATTTGTCAGCTCTGGGGATGGGAATTCTATGACTCCACCAGCATTTGACTCCTCCTCCAGGAGCCAGAGGGAGGGCAAGTGTGAGGGTGGAGGTCCCTGGGCTCAGCTGCTCCCCCAGCCTCTCCCTGGGGACTCCAGGGGCTCTGGGAGGAACCGGGCCTTGATGTTCACAGCACAACAAACGTGGCCCAGCTCTGCCCTGACACTGGCCACATGGGGCATCGAAGGGCACCCAGCCCACTCAGAGGACCAGGTCAGAGGCTCCAAAGCCGGGTACCAGCAGGCCTGAGCAGACCCGGGTGCAACCACTGGCCTGGCAGACACTTAGGGCTCGCTCTGGAACAATATTTTTATTTGGAAATCATTTCGAACTTTATTTTAAAAATATGTGTGTGTCCGCAAACAGCTACCATTTTATCCAGCAGCCTCCTGCTTACATTGGCTTTTCCTCCTCGTCTGTCTTTCTCAGTCTCTGGCTCCCAGCCTTTCCAGCCCTGGGTAGGTTTTTCCGAGCCTTTGAGGGGAGCCCCAACATGTGTCGCATGCAGATGTGGGTTACTTCTTCCTGTCCATTTCTCAGATTTAGGGCTCTGGGGCTCCCACCCCCAGGGGCAGGAGGGTTCCAGGAGCCCTGGGTGGGGCCTTCGCAAGACTCCAGAGCTTCAGTCCCTTCCTGGCTGTGTTTATTTTGCAGCTGCCTTTATGTTTCCAAGCGGGGAAAAACCAGCTGTGGGCTCCTCCCCAAGGTCAGCTAGAGGACAGTGTGGAGGGGCTGCTCCCCAAGAACAGAGGACAGTGGGGGCTGAAAACTTGCCTGCAGATGGCCCCCACCCTGTGCCAGCACAGGCCTGTCACCTTGCACTGGCCCAGCTCCAGGGGCGGGATTGGGATGGCTCCCCGAAAGCCTGGCCTACAGTCTGCCCGTGGCCAATGATTTGAACAAATAGAGAAGAGTTTGACTCCGAAACTTGGTGGGGAGTTGGAGCCAGCAGGGTGCACAGAGGCTGGACGTCCTGGAGGAGACCAAGCCCCGGAACACAGAGCGCTGAGGGGTGGGAGCAGGAGGCGGAGGAGGGGAGAGGGCAGCCGACAGGAGAGTCCGTGGACAGAGCCTGTGGACTGTGCTCCTCTAGCTCCCAGCTAGGATCAGGACCCCTGGGCATCCCAGCTCTGCTCTGCCCTCCTGACAGCCTCTCACAGTTTCCCACCCACACCCGCACGCTGAGCAAGGCCCTCCCTGGAGCCCTGAGTGTTTCCAGCCCTCCTGGGCCCAGGCCTGAAGCTCCCTCCACCCTGCTGGGCCACGGGCTCCTGGGAGGAGCCCTCCCTGCCCTCACGAGTGGCCAAGTCTGCCTAACACAGGCCCCTCAGTGCGCCTGGGTCCTTCCCAGAGCCCAGCTCCCCTCTAAATGTGCATCCTGTGCACCCCTAACCCCAGGGCACCCTGAGGCCAGGCGTTTGGGGGTTCTGGGGCCCCAGCTGTTTGGCACATAGCAGTTACTGAATAAACGCACAGTGACTAAGGGGAAGAACGAAGGCCTGGTTGGTGTCCTGGCTCCTACCTTTCGGGACAAGACGTGGCTGAGGAACTTTGAGAAAACAGGCAGGAAGTTGACCGTCATTTATTCCTTAGGATGTGGATCTTCCCGCTCCTCCAGCCCTCAGGAAAATCTCCAGCACCTGCCGATGTCTCTCGAGAAGAGGCTTTTGGTGGAAACACTAGGAAGGGCTGGGGAACCTCATAGGAATCTTGCCGCAAAAGAAAGGAAGCCAGACTATGCATGGACCCCAGAGCCGGAACCAGGTGTAGTCCGAGGTCACAGCAGAGGTGACTGTGATAAATCCATCCCCTCCCCAGAGCTGCAGACACCTTTGAATTCCAATGGGGGGAGCTGAGATGATGTTCTTTTAGGTACAGGGAGTTGGCATCTGATGCTTGGTTCCATTTCTATGCCCCCCCAGATGCCTGCAAGCATGTGACAAATGAATAAACGAATGGCCGACGGGTGGCCCAGTTTGCTGGACGTCTGTTCCTGCAAGCTTTCATTTTCATGCTCAAAAAGAAGTGAAGGAGACTGTGGCAAACTCGGAGACCACACTCAGACCTCCAAAGCCAGGGTAGCGCTCCAAAGCAGCCTGGCTAGGTTTAAGTAAAACAAAGTTTTTGAAAAACAAAATACAGAGAGCACTGCGGGCAGCGAGCCTCAGCGGTCCAGCAGCCAGAGCTGGCAGCCCCGGGGAGAGGCAGGGCTTGCTCTCAGGCCAGGCTCAGGCTCAGGCTGCTGAGCTTGACCTTGGGGACAGCAGCTCCTCGGAGAAGCAGACAGCCAGCCTTAGGCCACCTGAGGGAAGCAGCTTGGAGCCGTGCAGAGACCTGGGGTCTCCGCGCCAGCCGGGAGGCTCCATTTTCTGGCAGTACTCAATAGGCACTTGGAAAAAAATCAAAAGAAAAGGGCTCAAGAATGAAAGGGATGGAATGAATTATCCAGCAGATCAGACGCTCCAGTTTAAGCCCGGGACCTTGCGGAGTCTTGCGTGAAATCTTACAAGCAACATAAACAGAGCGGCGGCCAAGCTCGCCACCAGAAATATTCAATAATAAAACACAGCTGTCGGTCCTGGCACTCCGCAAGCAGACTTCGTCACTCTTGCCATTAGAAATGCTGACAAAGACAAAAACTACAAAATGAAAGCCAGTTTTCTTTTCCACCCCGAAGAGAGAGGTTTTTGTGAACTGCAGTCTAAATAGTCACTTAAATCTTGAACGATACACAAAAAAATAATTTAAAACAGAACTTCTTCTTGGAAACTCATTTTGACCAAGGACTTGCGAGAGACCTCGATTGATCCTGATGAGGATAGTGGCTTCGATTGGAAATCTGTGTCTTGATCACTGAGATGCCCTGGAGTCCCTCTCCTTGGCTCTCGGCGAGGGTCACCACGAAGCAGAGTTGAGCTGTGGCCAGGAGACACGACTGACACAGTGCTGGCAGCCAGGCTGGTCCTGTTGGGACTTGATGATAATAAGATTGTATAATCCTTCTGCCCAGGGACAGACCCAGATGTGGGAGAAGAGAAACATCTGGAGCCCCAGCCCCTGGACTCGAAGCATCCCTCTCCCTGGAGTCCCAAATGTGACAGCGGGAATTTGAGTACTAAAAGTAGGACCCTGTTCCAAGAGGTGGGACAGGGAGGGAAGGCGCCCAAGGACGTCAGCTCTAGGGAAGTCTGTGTCCTGGTCGGGAGACACATACACAGCTTGGGCCTAACCAGGTGTGGATGGAGGAAGCTACGTCTGGAGATGGGCACACAGGCAGAGAAAGCTTGGAGGACGGCGGGGAGAGAAGGCGCAGGGAGGGACTGTTCACGGAGTGAGGCACATGTAGGCTGGGTGGTGAGAGATAGTTAGGAGCTTTCTGGACCAACTGAGTCAGCTGCTCACAGCATCTCAAAGGCCTAGAGAGCCTGGATGGTGGCTTGAAAGCTCTGAGAGGACACTGAGGCGAGCTGTCACATCTGCTTCTTCGAGGGCAGCCCTCCCGCAGTGCCCAGCCGGACCCTCTGGACTGGCCCAGTCTGCCTGTGGCTTCTTCCTCTCCCTTCTCTTTATGGTCTCTAAAGTCCCCATTTCAGTGGCCCCCTTGGGCATGGCATGGGGGGTGGATGCAGGCTTCGGATCTGAGGTGAGCACAGGGGCAGTCTTCCTCCCACAGCCACCAGTGTCCCTGCGCCACTGCTGTCCCTCACCATGCTTTGGGGTCACAGCAGTCTGGGGCACAGCATTCTGGCCTCAGGCAGCAGCATCAGTACGCACCTAGTAGGGCTTGTGGTTTCCCAGGGCTAAAAGATCCTTCTCTGGGAGGAGACCTTGGGGAGTCTCTAGGGCCCGAGGCATGGGACAGTGACTTGCCACCATTGCTCACCATGCCCTTCCTTTCCTGAAGGCTGGGTGCTTCAGGCCAGGTATACAGCTCAGCGGCACGGTGCCCGCCTGGCAAGCATGAGGTCCTGAGTTCAATCCCCAGCTACCATTAAAAAAAAGAAAGAAAAAAGAATGGATGCTTCTTACTAGCTGTGAGTCTTATTTCAAACCATGCCAAACCCGAAGCCTGCAGGCTAAAACACTACCTTAAATCCACACATAAAACCCTGACACATTTTTGAATGGTTTGTCTTATTAAAAGGATGCTGAGGACTTTGTGGACGCTTGAGCATGTCCTGGATCCTCACTGGGTGGCGGCTAACAGTCAAAATTGTTGACCTAGAAACTAAGATGTGGATGTTGAATTACATGAAAATTTTAACGTCCTCCCCTGCAGAGGAAGGTCTTCTGGCCCTGGTAGAAAACAAGCCCCATGAAGCAGATGCTGCTGCATCCAGGACACCCGTACCCTGTTCCCGTCCCCTTTCTAGAGTCCCCTTGGTGCAAGAAGAAAAGAAAAGAGCTCTTTAGCCCCGCGTCACGGCCCTGTGCTGGCCAACTGTGGTCACGTCATGGAAGTCAGCCCGGGCTGACTGTGGGCCGGGGCTGGGCATGGTTCCTTCCTCTGCTGCTCTTCTTGCCTGCTGTTTGCTGTTTTGGTTGGGATTAAATGTCCCCAAAGGACTCAGAGACAGCAGACGAAAAGATGGCACAAAGACCCTGACAGTCCCTGACCAGGGGGAGGGAGCAGTGTCCCTGCACCGAGGAGGAGCTGCTACCCCGGCTCCTCTCCTAATTCCGTATTTATTCCTGCTTCGCCCTGCACACTGAGGTGAGCCACAATGGAGTCTTTAGATGGTGGCTCCCCTGGAACCATCAGCTTCTTCAAACTTCGCAGCCAGTGCGATGCTGTAATCAAATGCACAGCGCCTTATCTTCCCGAGACAAAGCTGTCAGGAGCAGAGCGGAGATGGGGCCGTGACTCCCAGCTCCCGGCTGCCTGCCCGCGACCGGCTTTGCTCACACTTGCTCTGAGAGGAGAGAGCTCTGCACTGGAGTCTCCGGGCAGTGGCACGACAGCTCTCTCCTTCCGTCAGGGTGTGACTGGCATGCAGAAGAGTGCAGAGAGTTTTGGTGGCACCAGGCGAGCGCCAGGCAGCTACTGCAGAAGCCCCGGCCAGGGTCTGGCCCGCCCTGCCTGGGAGCGCAGCCTTCTCAGCACTGAAGGGTGAACGAAGGACCGGCCAGCAAGGGCCTCCCCTTCCTCTGCACGGGGGCTAGAGGGTGAGGCGACCTCTCCATGAGGCCTTTTCAGTTGAACCAGTAAAAGCCAAACGAAGTGTTTCTGTCTGCTGCCTCTGTCACCCAGCTGGGTTTACCCCGGGACCCTGCCAGGCAAAGGTTCCCCCAGACTGCCTGGGTCGCGCCCCTGTGACTTCAGTCTCTAGACACACTCGCTGCACCCTGGGGTGGGGCAGGGAGCAGGTGACAGTTTTGTCTTTTTCTTGGCAGAGGCAGATGCAGAAGGTTCTCTTTCCTTCTCGTCTGCTTCAGTCTGAACCCCGAGGCCACCTCCTCCCTCCCACCCTTCTGGAGTTACTCATGGCGGTCACACTGGGTCCCCCAGAGAGCCTATGCCAGTAGAGACCCCTGGTTGCTTTTCGAGACCACTTGGGTTGTGACATGGAAGACCAGTGACTTCTGACTCTGGGTTCACAAACACACATTGTGTGCCTCCTGTGTGCTGAGCGATCAGAGCAGCCCATTTCCCACAGGTGCTGCTGTGAGAACCCCCATTTCCCACAGGTGCTGGTGCGTTTACTCTCAGCAGCTCTGGTCATTGTACAAGATCATCTCAGCTGGACAGAAGAGGAAACTGAGGCAAGGCGGGGTGATGCAAGTCACCTACAGTCCCCGCAGTCTTGAGAGGGAGGAGGCAAGATTCAACCCTGCCCAAACTCAGAGTCCCGAACTCGCCTTTGGTCACTCGGCCTGCAGGAGCAGACGGGCCCTGCTGCCCACGGAGGCTCCAGTCTCAGCCTTAGCCCTGCTGCGAAAGGCCTGGGAACACGGCTCCCTCCGAGCAGGGATCGTGCTCTTCCATAAAAGGAAGCCACACTTGCAGAGAGACTGGCGTTTGGCTGGTGAGAGCCGTCCAATCCGAAGTTGTAACCAGGTTGTTGTAATTCAAACTCGGATGTCGATTTCAACCCCTCTCTCACGACTATTTTGAGCCCAGGAAAGCCCACAAGTGTGTCTATTCTGAGACAGCGACACAAAAAGATCCAGTTAGAAAAATGTTCAGAGAAACTTGGGAATTATAATTACTCCTACACCCGAGAGCACTCGCTCTCATTTTATAAAGTGCTCTGCGGAGATGGCACCGGAGGGAGGGCTCTGCCCCGCTGCGGCCAGGCCGGGAGGGGGCGCGGTTCTCACCCACGGTGGCTCCTGCGCCCCAGGGCGCTGGCTGGGATGGCCCGGAGCTCGTGAGAGCAGGTGTCACCGGAAATGAGTGCAGGGTGCACTGAGGGCCAGCGCAAAGGAGCAACTGGGAGAGGAGAAATGGGGCGCAGGAAGCCAAACGTGTAAAACACCAACTTTCTCTTAAAATAACCATCTCGGCTGCCATTTAGTGGTGTTTATCACGTGACCAGGACTGTGCTAAGCCTGGGACTCATGTTCGTTCATTTATTCATCCCTTAAAATATATCCTGTTAGAATCCTCCTTTTCCAGTTTGAAACATTAAGCTGGAGGTTTGGGGACTTCCCAAAGGCCCCCAGGCAGAGCAGGGAAGCCACAGCTCCAGCTCAGGACCCTGACTGCTAAGTCTGTTCCTCATCCTCAGGCCCCAGAACTTGTGAAGACACAGCCTCTTGGAAAAGGGGTGTGTGCAGCTGTCACTCAGAGAAGCAGCTGGACAGGAGGCCACCCTGAATCACCGGGGTTGGGGCCTCAGATCCAGGAGCAGGCGTCTTCCTAGGGGGTACACACATGGGAGAGGACAGTGCCCTACCCAGTTGGAGGCAGGGACTGGAGATGTGGTCTCCTGCCAGGCTCACCCTTGTCTGCTTGGAAGAACAGGGAGACTTTGCCTTTGAGCATCCGGAGGGAGCTGGCTCCCAGTGACGTCCTGATTTGCATCCCGGCCCCCGGAACTTTGAGGAACTACATTGTGCTGGGCCAAGTCACTCATTGTGAGGCCATCTATCCCCTCCCACCCGAGTCCCCCAGCCCCATGCCCTGGATGTGACCAAGCAAGCACAGTCCCAGGCTCAGGAAGACTGGAACATTCTCCTCACCCCTCAGGGGGTCTCACCCAGGGGTGGAGATTGAACCCCAGGGATGGTATCAAAACTGTAGCCCTCTGAGCTCCGGAGGCCTGGCCAGCCTGGCTCCAAGCCTTCCCGAGTGTAGCCTTGTCTCCTAGTCCAGGCCCTCAGGGCTCTGGGTGCTGCGGTCGGGTCTGGAATGTCCTGGAAGTCTGAGCTTGGCGCTTCTTCCTGACCTCTGCAGCTTGGTGCATCGAGGCCCAGCACACGGCAGAGGAAGCTGCTGGCCTCATGGCAGCTGGGAAGCGGATAGACTCAGGTGGGCACCACCACTGTCCCAAAGTCATGGGTCGGGCAGGAAGTGAGGCTCAGCCCCGCACATCCCAGTGGGTCTAATTTCAGAGCGAGAGTCATTGCTTCATTCCGCAGATGCAGAGGCTGTGAGCTTTTTTTAAAATCTCAAACCTTGAGATTCTGCG